GGAGCCGGAGCTCTGCGTCTTGTGTGGGCTCGATTCTCTTTTCCTCATGCCCTTGTGTCGTAGTGATGTTTCCATTCACCATTTCACTGTGGCACAGCCACGTGGAATACCTTGCTATTGCTACCTCCAGTCACTTGAGTGGTCGTCAGAACGGTCGCATCTCGATTCTGTATTCTAACAAAAGCCCCAAGTGGCGACTCGATATGTGTAGCCCCAGTAGGCTCGCAACCACGTGCTGACGGATGCCTCATTCAACCCAAACAAAGACACATTTAAGATTGATCAATGGGCAACTAAGGGGTAACTAGTGGCCTGAAGCGTGAGCTTTCTTGTCATCTGACAACTCAAACTTACTACGGAAGTGACCTGGATGGAGTAATGATGGATGGAAGCGATATTGAGGAAGTGCAGGTCTGACTGGATCCATCATGAATACACTAGGGATGGGGAATATCAACCTAGGGGTATGAAATGACATAAAAGGGGTTGGGTTGGGTTGGGTTGGCAGGCCCTGGTTCATCTGATGTAGTGAGTTGTATCATAGCAACCATGAGAGTTTTTCCCAAGTAGCAACGCCCGCAACTCAGATAAGCATAGCAAACAAATGCGTTCCGAGCCGCATCTGAGAAAAGCCTACTAAATCAGCAATGCAGATGCAACGTCTACGGAAGGGGATGGAGTCGAGGCGAATGGAGTGGTAGGCAATGGAAGTCTCACAGCGCGTGAAGCCAAAAGAGCAAAGGAGAGCGACTAGCCCGTGAAGTGCGTCTTCTAGGACGAACTACATTTGGTACCTGCTAGAAATAGGAGGGATGAACGATAGAAAACGTCAGTCTAGATCAAAAGAAGACTGGCATTATGATTCACGAGCTATAGTGATCATCGGTCACGGAGATATCTAGCAGTGCATCCTCTCTCAGATAGTCTCGACTGAACTCCCAAGCACAGCCATTGACGAACAGTTGGGAGGGTCATGGAATTACTGATGACAAGATGACTTGTATGAGCAAAAGGAACGGGCGAATGTACCGTCGGAGCCAGTGGACGGAACAGAAGGAGGAAGATGAAGACAATCTTGGCATCAGTCAGACCAAGAGTGGCGAGTACCTGAAGCGAAGGAAAGGGACTTCTGCAATGTCTGCGTAACCTCTCGAAGACCTCTCCTTGGGTCGAAGACAGGCTCGAGAGTAGGCCCGCATTGGCAGGGATCAAGACTGAGGAGAAAGAATCAAAACACATCTCACCAACATGGGTTCAATCTCAGACTCTTACAGTGTGTCAAACACTTTGTCACTGATCGTCTGTCTTCGGGAGAGATGGACTCAAGTTCAGGGATCCAGTTGCATCTATCCCGATGCAGGTCTCGTCTAAGGTGGGAGAACGAAACCAGGGATTCTCATCCGTCCGGGTAAACATGTAGCGTCAAGGAGCATTTCGGGGCACGAATGACCAAGTTGTTGGGCTAACACAAGAAGAGAGGCCTGTCAGGACATCCACAAAGAGCCACATCATGAGAGTATCACGCCGAGTTTTGACGGCACAGGAACAGTCGACAAGGATGAAGATCGGCTTAGACGTTACGATGTAGCCCTCTTGAGCTGCTTGAACACACGGAACCGTCCAGAAAATCAAGGTAAATCCCTCAATGTATCACCGTCGAGACCGGGAGGCGGAGATTATCATGATGCCGAGTTGAAAAGTAAGTCAAGTTTGTGGAGGAGTTGATGTTTCAAGGTGTAGGTATAGATTGTCGTTGATAAAAGTCGGGGCTTAGCTTCATGCACGATTCGTATAGCATACCCTTGTCGCACTTGTCGGCGTGTAAGAGGAGGATCAGGACGTTTAGGGCGATCCAAGCGAGCGATGAGGCTCAAAGATGAGAAACTGACGCATTATCTGGGGGTCATGGCAGACGGCAGAATAGCAGGCTAACCCCTGTCAAATCGCTATACGAATCGTGCATTAGCGTGGTTCTGATGATTGGCCTTGGGGGATTTCTGGGGCAGATGGGCCAGAGGTACCTGATGCCCTGCAGAAGACTCTGCAGAACAACAAGTACCTCAATTTCCAAGCGCATGGATCGCCTGTCAGGCCTCTCCTCTGATTGGCTGTGTCCCCTGAGGGAGATTGCTCCGAACGGCCAACTGCAGCGCGCCAATAGCACAACACGTTTTCTTATTCGGATTCCCCATCGCGAGAATTGTACCTACTGCTGTACTTGGGGGACTGCTGCAAGCTGCAACTTTGGGTGTTGTTGGCAACACGCCCCCCCCCCCCCYCCYCCYCCYCCMCCAACTTTTTTCCTTTCTCTCAAACTCCATTAAACAATTTGGTTTGTTTTGGGTATCCTTCACTTGACTCTTTTTTCTTTTCTTTTCCCTTCTTGTCAGGATATAGGTGCCATCGCCAAACCTACCAGCAGCGGATACTGTCTGTCTAGGTACCTAATTAGGCATTTTTACTCAATGCCCTGGTCTTTTTCACTCCACGACACTGTCACCGCCCCCTGTTCCTGTGTTTGGCTTTGTTTGCTTTGATTTGCCGTGCCACCGTCCACAGCTGCATCTCTGGCTTTCAAAGTGCATCCGAGGCGTCCAGTCCGATTGCTTCTTTCTGTTGTCTTGCGCACTGTGGGAAAAAGCACAGTCTTGAGTCTGGGTCATCACAGCCTGATTGACGGTTCAGGCTCTCGGGACCTGGCTCCAGCTTCTTAGTCTCTTTCTTGGTTCTGCCTCTGTTCAACCGTCTGTCCATTAGTTATATAAAGGCTCTCCCGAGCCCTTCCTTCAAGATGTCTTCAAGATATTCACTACGCCAAACTCCCAGGTTTGTTTGCTCCTCTATCCCTTAATCCCAATTTTTCTACCATGTAGCTAACTTTGCGCCTTCAGGAAGAAGGAACTCTTCGAGGGCATGGTTGAGACCCCTATTCGTCGCTCACGTTCAAATCGCCGCCAGACTTCCCAACCTCCCTCAGACGTCGAAACCGAGTCGAACTCTGCCGCTGAGACTGTCTCGCGACCTACTCGCCGACGCACCGCTAGGTTCACCGAAGAGCTCGACGAGGACACAGATTCCGACAACATGGGGGCTGTCAACAGAACTTCCAATGGCAAGACCAACGGCCATGCCAATGGCCATTCAAACGGTGATGCCACCAATGGACACGCCACCAACGCCCATGCTACATCCAACGATGTTTCTGGCGCTGCACCTATCAATTCAGTCTTGGAGAAGACCGAGGGCGTCCCTCAAGACCCCAATGTGGTTGATGGCTGGAGGCCTGGCCAGGATCCTAAGATTGACTACTCTGGAGAGTTCGAGTTTGGTGGTTCTTTGGGCACCGCTGCCATGATGGTACTCTTCCCTATCCTCATGTGGTATATGTGGATTGGCGCCACTTACTACGATGGCAAGTTTCCCTCCCGTGCCGAGGGTCAGTCCTGGGGCGAGTTCGCTTCTCACCTCGTCAATCTGGTCTACACTGGTGCATTCCCCCGCCTCCAGGTCTGGGCATGGTATTGGTCTTACCTGATTGTTGAGGGTGCTTTCTACTGCCTTCTCCCCGGTGTCTGGGGCTATGGCAAGCCTCTTCCTCATGAGGGCGGCAAGCAGCTTCCCTACTACTGCAGCGCCTACTGGAGTCTTTACACCACTCTTGCTTGCCTTGCCTTGCTGCATTTCTCTGGCATCTGGCCTCTCTACACTGCCATTGATGAGTTCGGTCCTCTTCTGTCTGTTGCTATCCTCAGTGGCTTCCTCGTTAGCTTTGTGGCCTATTTCTCTGCTCTTTGGCGTGGCAAGCAGCACCGCATGACGGGCTATCCCATCTATGACTTTTTCATGGGCGCTGAGTTGAACCCCCGGTTGTTTGGTATTCTCGACTTCAAGATGTTCTTCGAGGTTCGCATGCCTTGGTATATTCTGCTCATCCTTAGCCTTGGCGCCGCCGCTCGTCAATATGAGCAGTACGGCTACGTCTCTGGAGAGGTTTGGTTCCTCGTCATGGCTCACTTCCTCTATGCCAACGCCTGTGCCAAAGGAGAGGAGCTCATCATCACCACTTGGGATATGTACTATGAGAAGTGGGGGTTCATGCTCATCTTCTGGAACCTCGCTGGTGTTCCTCTCTCTTACTGTCACTGCACTATCTATCTAGCTAATCACCACCCTGATGTGTACCGCTGGAACCGCGGCATTCTCGCTGCCATGTTCGCTGGTTATCTCTTCTGGTACTGGGTCTGGGATAGCTGCAACAGCCAGAAGAACCGCTTCCGCGCTATGGAGAAGGGCAAGTTGGTCCTACGCAAAACCTTTCCTCAAGTCCCCTGGCAGACTATCCACAACCCCAAGACTATTGTCACTCCCCAGGGAACTATCCTGGTTGATGGTTGGTATGGTCTTGCTCGCAAGATTCACTACACTGCCGATGTGTGGTTCGCTGTTTCTTGGGGTCTTATTACAGGCTTCGAGAGCCCCTTTCCCTGGTTCTATCCAGTATTCTTCTGCGGTATGATCGCTCACCGTGCTGCTCGAGATATCACCCGTTGCCGTCGCAAGTATGGTGATGCTTGGCTCGAGTATGAGCGACGTGTACCTTACCTCTTCATTCCTGTGAGTTTCCACCAAAACGTTACTTGAACCTTGATACTAACAATCTTTTAGTACGTTATCTAAGGAGTCGACGAGGCGACGCGGGAGCAAGTCAAAACTCGCTGCGCCCATGAGGGACACTTTGTGCCCATATATTATTCTCAGTCAGTGGCTCTTGATGCCACTAGGTGTTTTGGTCAGTGGAAATGTGTACAAGGAAAACAAAAACCGGTATGATTCTGGGAGACGAAAAGGGAAACCTACAAACGAAGAGATGAAGAGACGTAATACAGGGGGTATATAAGAAAGCTGTAGACACTAGCCTCTACTGGTTTGTATAAAGTGTCAACTTGCTTCGGGGTTTTTTTTGACTATGTAATCTTTTACTTGCTCGCATTTGTATACTTCTGAAAGCGAGGATACAATAATAAACTGCTGTATTAATACGCTCTCAGTGAGCATTACGCCCTCGGAACACTGATGTCGAGAGGGCTTGCAACAATTTGACGTGTACCAGTCGTGCCAGAGCATGTATGATGCCCGCCATGACCGGTGACGTATGTGATTGATAGATGACAGCTAGCTGCATCAGTAGACCTGACGATTTATGAAAGGGACATATATGTTAAGTTCCGGTACATAAAAACAATTGACAATAGCATACACTAATACTCGAGTTCCCCTTCACCGTCTATGATGAGAAGCCACCCAGAGAGTAACACGCATGTTGAGAGTATTTTACAGAAACCATCCTCCTATTTCATCCCAGCCCCTCTTCTCCCATAATAGAAAACAAAAACAGTATCTCGAGTCCATTATTCCATGATTGCGCGAAAAAGGGGCAGGTATGAAAACGTGCCAACCCAACGCCAGCGTTCACAACCCCTACTGCACCATCCATATTTGGGACAAGGAGCAAGGAAGTTGCAAGCGCTATTAGTGTTCATACGGTCGACCATACCCTAAGCAGCTCTTATGATTTGAGTTCGATCTTGTCAGGCTGTCATTTAAGGCAAGGCTCCTGTTCCTTTGTTGATTTAGCATACAGCATCGACGTTGGCCTTGGAGTTCATGAGGAGGGCAACGATGAGACCGTAGAGACCTGTTCCATGTTAGCTCATTGGAAATGTCGGACTAAGCACCAAGACATACCCAAGACTTCAGCGAAAATGAGAATAAGAATCATGCCGACGAAGAGACGGGGCTGCTGAGCAGTTCCTCGAACACCAGCATCACCAACAATACCAATGGCGAAACCGGCAGCGAGACCAGCAAGTCCGACGGAGAGACCAGCACCGAATTGAATGAAACTAGTGAACAGAGGAAGGTCCTGCTTCAAGCCATCGGAGATAAGGACGGAAACGACGAGACCGTAGATACCAATGATACCGGCCATAATGACGGGAACAATGTCTGGGACATGTTAGCATCGCGCAGTTCGTGAGGATTGAATCCTAAGGGCCGCATACTCTTGACGATCAAGTCGGGGCGGAGGACACCCATGGCAGCGATACCAACACCCGACTTGGCGGTACCGTAAGAGGCGCCGAGGCAGGTGAAGACAATAGCGCAGGTGCAGCCCATAGCACCAAAGAAGGGCTAAATAATCGTTAGCGATGTGAAATTCGATATGGAGTCGATATCGTCGACAGCCTCACGATGGAGGTTTGGGCGTCGCGAGGTGACGTCGACGGCATGAATGACGTGGAGGACTGACCGAGTAAACGGGGCTGCAGAGACGCGCATGTTAGCTTCAATCATGAAGAATGATGTAGTGCGAGACCATTCCGATGGCTTTTCGCGTTGCCAGGCGATGCCTGAAGCTTCCGGTGATGCATAGAGAGCTTGATGATGATGGGGGCAAGGAGGCGCGCAAGCACGTACCAAAGTTCGCTAACCATCTTGACGGTTGTTTATCTGAGGATAAGCAGATATCAATGGAGCAATCTGTATCGAGGGATTCGAGAACGAGCTGAGCTGTTGGGAGATGAAGTCGTTGGAACAACGGGAATCGTTTGCCTGGGGGTTGAGGACGAAGATGTCGAGGTGAAGGTGTGCTTGTTAAGGTTTCATTCCAGGTTGGCGTCTGGTTGGCGGCAAGGTTTTGCTGTACTCTACTGGGAGGGAGAGGCACGGGGAGCATTACATAATGCACTACGGGGCGGCTGGTGTTTCGGATAAAAGATGGGCCAGCCAGGCCAGTCTCTGACTGGTGAGCTCGAAACAGGAGAAGTGGAACCAGGAAAGCCTCGCAGCAGCAAGCCACACAAGGCTCGGCGCGCCACATGTGAATTTTTCTGCCGCCTTGGCGCATATTATCCAGCGTCTTCTCTTTTTTTCTTCTTCCTTCTTGACTTTGTCGATATATCGCCAACCACATTCCTCCGCCAACCTCATTTTCAGTCCTCAGGGCGAGCCAACGCAAGGAACCCTGATACTCATACCATCCCGTACGCAGCCTCGACTTGACTATCCTCAAATTCCAACAAGGACCAGCGACTGACTGCCATCGATTAGAAACTTTCCTTAAAAACCTCGGTCTAGTCTTTCACAATGTCTGAGAGTGCTGGTATGTCCAATTACCTTGTAGCTCTCTTGTGACTATTCACTGATATGCCGATAGCCTGGCCCCTTGCCGATCAGAAGCTCGAGCAGGAGCTTCTCGATCTTGTTCAATCTTCTCAGCGTAAGTCATCTTCAACAAGGCCCAGTTTAGACCAATTCGCTAACGTACTTCACAGATGCCCGCCAGCTGAAGAAGGGAGCTAACGAAGCCACCAAGACCCTGAACCGCGGTGTCTCTGAGCTCGTCATCCTCGCTGCTGACACTCAGCCCCTCGCCATTCTCCTCCACCTTCCTCTTCTCTGCGAGGACAAGAACGGTAAGCGCAATTGGTAATTCTGATGCAGTCTGAGTCGATTACTAACTTGTGCTTAATAGTCCCCTATGTTTACGTTAGCAGCAAGATGCACCTCGGCCGTGCCTGTGGTGTCAGCCGTGCTGTCATCGCCGCCAGCATCACCAGCAACGACGCCAGCGAGCTCGCCGGCCAGATCCGAGCTATGCGCGACAAGGTTGAGCGCCTCGCTATCTAAGATACCCCACGACGAGGAGGAAAGCAAAAGATGGAACACATTTTCGTCTATGGACAGACAGTCCTTGAACGACTGTTTGTTGCTGCTCAGATTTGTTTCCGAATTTTTTATGTTCTGGGCTTATCTGGTGCAATAATTGGTGTATGACATTGAGTCCTCCTGGGTATAATAGTAATATCATCAACTGTCTATCTTGGCGAGACCAAAGGATATCTGAAGCATATCTGAAGCCCAATACGAAAACGAGCCAAAGTGGATATATCGAAATAATTTCGATATGCGAATGCGATGTCGGCGGCTATTCTGCGCTATGCTATAACGGATGCAGTGAAATGCGAGATTATGACGTCTCCACCACCGAAAAAAATGAGTGAACTGATGCGGTCATATCAAGTGTAAATAGCCGCTCGATTCGATCCTTCCAGCTTCTTGGGTGAGCTGCAGCTTGGCCCAGTTCCTCCTGCAGCTTCTTCGCAACCTGTCTCGTCCCTGTCTACCTATTCTTTCTAGATCGCCAATCTCTTATCTTGCTTCCCTGTATTTACCTTTGAATGCCTACCAAGTGCCGTCGATAAGAACTACGTGCCCCCCGCACAATGCCAGCCATTGCTCGCAAGCTCCTCATCTGCGCAGCGATTGATGGGCTTATAATACAACCACTCTCTTCCAAAGGCCAACGACCTTTTCAGCCAGTGCGGCTCAAATATGGCGACGCCTCAATCTCCCATGTTCCGCGTGAACATGTTCCTGACGATTCTAAGCCAGATTATTCTTTTGAAGCTTTTGGAGTGATTGGTATGACACTGGATGGCCCCGCGCTTATGACATGTAAGACTCAAGACTGACGGACGCGACAACTGTAGGCATCATTGCAGTCTCGAAGTTAAATTATCTCGTTACCATCACACGACGCCAACAAGTTGCACAAATCTGTGGCCACCCCATCTATGTCGTTACCGAAGTCGCCCTTACACCATGCACATCCAAGGCCGGCGCTGAAGAATCAATAAGGAGGACCTCGGGCCACCTATCACGCCAAGCACAAGACTCGGGGAACGAGAGTGATAGCAGCGATGAAGATGTTGAACTGCCCTCAAGAACGTCAGACGAAGTAGAAGACGCCGTTGTTGAGGACGACGATGCAAGGCCTGGGTCGGCTAGAAGCCGCGTAGCTGAAGATGTCATTCGCAGGAGGGGCAGCTATGGGCGGTTCGCCCAACGTTGGTTCAGTCGAAGTGGCTGGACTCTAGATCAAAAGAGGAATATGGGTTTGAGCAATTCATCGAGCGTTCCAGAAAATAATGCTCCTGCGACTGAGTCATCCTCAGAGGATACGCAAGAGGGGCTTGATAAGGTCGTGCCCGAGGAGCCCGAATTATTGCCAAAACTTTTGCGAACCGCCCATGTTCTCTTTGGTTCATCGCGGAGTTTTTACTTCTCTTACGACGTCGACCTCACTCGCTCTCTCGGTGACGGATCGATACCCCCGAACAGCGAGAGCCCTCTCCACAGCCAGGCAGACGAGGTCTTCTTTTGGAACCGGAATCTCCTGAAACCTTTCCTATCAAGCGGGCAAGATTCTTTGGCATTGCCGTTGATTCAAGGATTTGTTGGACAGAGGACCTTCATTGTCGATAGTCAGCCTCCCCAGAGCGATGTTACGGGCAAAGATTCCGTCGAACTGTCTAATCTTCCATCGTCAGAAGACTTAACAGCCTCTCCTCAAGCGCTGAGTTCCAAGACATCTATAGACCTTCGTTCTTCGGAGAGGAAATATCTAATCACTGTGATATCGCGCCGGTCCACAAAACGAGCTGGCTTGCGGTATCTGCGCCGTGGCATTGATCAGGATGGTTTTGTTGCGAACATGGTTGAAACCGAACAGCTTCTTTCCACACCAACGTGGGACCCGGCTTCAAAGATATACTCCTTTCTGCAGGTCAGGGGAAGCATTCCCCTATTCTTCACACAGTCGCCGTATGCTTTCAAACCTACTCCTATTCGACAACACTCTGAGGAGGCCAACCAAGCTGCGTGCCGCAGTCATTTCGAAAGTCTTTCCAGGAATTATGGCCACTTGCAGATAGTTAATCTCGTCGAAAAACATGGGGTCGAGTCCATCATCGGTTCTGCATATGAGACAGCCGTGGAAGAAATCAACAAGAATGGCAGCATAGATCAAAAGATACCTTTCGAATGGTTTGATTTCCATGCTGCTTGTAGAGGCATGAAGTTTGAGAATGTCAGCATGCTGTTAAATCAGTTGAGGGACAAGATCGAGAGCTTTGGAAGCACTATTCAACAGGACGGGAAGCAATTCGCTCGACAGCAAGGTGTTTTCCGAACCAACTGTATGGACTGCCTTGACCGAACCAACGTCTGCCAGAGCTCATTCGCAAAGCATATGCTGGAAGTTCAACTCAAGGAGGAAGGCTTTGACATGAGTGCGCAGTCTGATCAAGTGACTGCTTGGTTCAACACCCTCTGGGCGGACAATGGCGACGCTGTGTCAAAACAGTACGCATCGACAGCAGCGATGAAGGGCGACTACACAAGAACACGGAAGAGAGATTATCGTGGTGCGTTGAACGATTTGGGTCTCGGTCTTGCTAGATACTATAGTGGGTACGTATTCCAATTCCTCCTCCTTGACTGCTCAACCTCTTGCTAACCAAGTCAGCATGGTCAACGACTACTTCAGCCAAGCAGCCATTGATTTTCTCCTCGGCAACGTAACAGCCAAAATCTTTGAAGAATTTGAGAGCGACATGATGACGAAGGATCCAGCGGTATCCGTCATCAAGATGAGAGAACTAGCCGTCGAACTATGCCAGAAGCGAGTTATAGCCGATGAGAAGGAAGAGTTCCACGGCGGCTGGGTTCTCTTAAGTCCTACCACACCTGACGCTATCAAGTCCTGGCCGCTCGAAGAGGTCGTTCTGTTGTTGACAGATGCAGCTCTCTATTCATGCCGTTTTGACTGGAAGTCTGACAAGGTATCTTCCTTTGAGCGTGTCGAGCTCGATAGCATCACAGGTATCAAGTACGGTACTTATATTACCTCCACCATCTCCCTTTCTCACATCGACGAGATTAGGAATACCGGTTTTGTGGTGACATATAGCCCTGGCAAGAGTGACGTTCGCCGTACTAACACACGAACCTTTTCAAGTCGCGGCGAGATGACAGGTAAGGAGAGTGCCACCGAACAAAAGGATGCCAGCATTCCTGCCAGCCTAGCCAACTTGCTTACCAGCAAATCATCGTCTTCTTCATCGCCGAGCATTCGCCGCCTGGTCTTCAAAGCGACAAATGTGGATTCCTCTGTCGCTATTGTGGGTGATGATGGTCCTAAGCAGACAGAGACTGAGCAGGTTTCCGCCATTTGCGGTGACATTGAGCGACTGGCGCTGGAGAGACAGGCGGAGCATCCGGGCGATGAGAGGAAGAGGCTTATCGAGACCGGCCCCATCATTTCTCTAGAGGAGGCCAAGAAGAACACAGGATTGTTAGAACAGCTAGGACACTCACTCAAGAAGATGGTGTGGGCTTGATAGATACCGCCATCAAGGAAACAGCATAAACGATCTATCCCCATATAATACGTTATAAATAATGCAAACCATAGATATCACGATAATTCTCAAGCTGGTGTTTTTTCTCAATCATGGCTTTTGTAAGCGGTACAAGTGCATCTGGTAGCGCATATTCTCGAGCGGGATTGGATAAGACAAGCCTTCTGGTAGACGAAACCAGATGGAGTCGTCCGACTGTAGCTTTTTCCAGGAATACCCAGGCGTTTCGGTTTCTATGAGGGTGTGGTCGAGAAGCCATTGCATAGGGTATCTCTTCTTCTCTTTGCCCAAAGCTGCCTCGGAGTAGCTTCCTGGGCTGTCCACTACGAGGACCAAGCTATCAGATGCTAGGACTTGCCCAAGGTTCTTGAGGAACTTTGTCGTCTTGCCGATACCTGCTGTTGTGTACAGCTCATTGAGTGTGAAGAGAAGAGTCAAGATGATGGGTACTCTGCCATTGGCACATTGCGCTGAAAGAGAGTCCACGTCAAGATCCAGAACATCTCGCTGGACCATGTCCAGTGAGAGTTGATTTTTTCCCAGCAGTGGGTGATTGGCCGCCTGGCGTGCCGTGGATGCATATTTTGAAATAGGCGGAGGGTTGACGGTGCTGGATTCGAGAAGAGAAGTGACCGTTGTCCATGGGCCCGAATCGAGAAGCGTCAGATGGCCATCTGTGGCAGTTGTCTGGAGATAGGAGGCAAAGGCAACGTGCTCGGCTGCACAGCCGCCTACAGACAACATTCGAAGGGTGGCATTGCGTCGATTGGAGGTACTGTCAAGTTTGAGATCCTGAAAGATTTCTAGTCCAGTCCCTTCAGACTTGTCATTTGCATCATCCTGGATTGACCCAGCGATC